AAAGCATGTTTTAATATATATATATTATAAAATTTTAATAAAATTTAAATATAATTATAAAAAGTTTTATTAGTAACATCTTTTAATTTTTTATAAAAATTTTAATCAGGCATGCAAATCATATAACAAATGATTTATATCAGACTCTACCCTTAAGTTTATAACTTACTGAATCTAGTCTCTGAAAATATTTAATTAGTAATATATAATAAGTAATTGTTTATTAAACTTTTTTCAGAGTTAAGGCCAATAAGTTATAAACTTAAATTTCTAATATCTTATTTTTTCCTTAAGGTTATATATACAATATATTAATATTAATTTTAGCAAATTTGAATTAAATACAGAGTAGTTACTAGATTAGAGATCATCTTGTAATTAGTTATGAAATAATTTATGGCTTAAGCCATAATATCATTAGAACATTATTAGAACATTATTGGAATATTATTAAGACAATTTGTCTGCACCTCTATACTAGACATTAAATAATAAACTATTTTTCTAAAATTTCTAAACAATAATATAATTCTAAGCATATTAATATACTTTAAATATTAAAATTCTATTGCATATTTTACCTTCTTTTATAATACTAATTTTTGATTTCTTATCTTATATTGGTTTATTTATTTAATAATAACACTTGAAATGCCTGAAAAAATACTTAAAAAAAAGTATTACAGCTATTTTTTAATTGCTTTCTAATGTGTTAGTTATGCTAGTAACTTTGATATATAATGTGATTTAACTTAAAATGTAAAATAACTTAAACTATATAATCAAATAACAAAAAAAAAGATAAAACTAATTAAGTATGTTCTGAACTTTGAATTTATAAAAAAAAAAATAAAGAATAGCAATATTTTAAAAAAAAAACTTCTTACTATGCTATTTAAAGTTCTGCTATATTAATTGTTTAATAATGTAACTGAAAGTTAAAAAATAATTAAATAAATAATTACTAACAATTCAGATAAAATTGTCTCTCTGAGTTTTTCTGTAACAAAGTGATTTCAAATAAAAACTAAAATTATTTTGAGTATTTGATTGATAGTAATAGTATGCTATGCCCAACAAGCAATCAAAAAAATTAAAAAAAGCCTATAAAACAAAGGAATATAAGCATAATATTGATGCTAATAATTCTAAATCAAAAAATTCTGATAACTTTTTTTATAATAAAGCAGTTGAAAATAATAATGCTAAAAGTATTGTAAAAAAATTTTAAGCTGCAGCAAACAACTATTATAGCAACAATAATATGCTAAAATATTATAATAATAAAAGTCTTTTTGCTCATAATGAGCTAATTGAGATTGAAAATAATAATGCTAAAGACTTTGTAAAAAAACTTTTAAATATAGCAAATACCTTTTATTATAAAAATAATTCTAACAAATTCTGTAAGTTATACTATTTAAGAAACTCTATTTGTACTAAAAAAAGAAAGAAGTAACAACAGTGTAAAACAGCAAAATGAATATCTATATTGTTTACTTTTTGGAATTAAGACAAGACTATTGAAGAAGATGTTAAGGCAGAATTTTTTAATAATAAATAGTTAGATAAAATGATGAAGATGATACTAAAGGGCTATTAGAAGATGAAATTAAAACTCTAATTAGTGTAAAAGAATCAAAATTACACTTGAAAACATAATATTAGATATCAAAAATGAGAATGTAAATAGTAAAGTTTGAGTGTGTCTTAATAGTATTTGATTTTATCTTTAACTTATAAAGCATAATCATCAGAAAATAGAAGCAAGCAAAATAGTTGCAGATGTAGCAGAAAAAGAAGTATACTATGCTAGATGCATTTATTTTTGGTTATATGAGTATGTTATGACCTACCAGAGTTTTTATTCATGCTGAGAACATTATGCTAAGATATGAAGCTTTTTTTAAGATAAAGATATTCTTCTTTAAATCAAGTTATATGTTCAAGAAAATAAGTAGAATATTACTTCATATATGATTATGCTACAAATAAATAATGTTATTTTATCAGGGTTCAGATTTGTACCACCACTAACTATTTCTTTTAATACTGCAAAAAATTATCTAAAAAAGCTTAGAAATATATATAAAAGAGTAAAAAAGAGAATTTACATTAATGGATATGAAAAAGAAGATGTAGTAGCCTATCAAAAAATATTTTTAGAACAAATAAGTAAACTTGAATCTAGAATGCTTATATTTTCAGATGATAATATGGAAGTAGAAACCTGTCCAGACAGTAGTATATAGCCTTTTATTCTTATTACATATGATGAATGCATCTTCTTAGCTTATGATAGAAGTCAAAGTCTCTGGATTTCTGAAGAAGAATAACTTTTAAGAAAAAAAGGTAAAAGATATTCAATTCATGTTAATGAATTTTTTACGAAAGTTCATGACTGACTTTTGCTTCCTGAAGAAATGCAACTATCAGATATACTTCCTAGAAAAGCTTGTATTATTATATGCCCTGCTAAAAACAATAATGAATGGTAGAAATCTGAAGATTTAATTAAACAAGTATCAAATTATGCCATTTCTATATTTGAAGCCTGTTTTTCAAATATCAAGCATTATTTGCTTTTAATAATACAAAAAGTCATACTTCTTATATGCCTAATGCACTTGTTGCAAAAAATATGAACCTTAGTTCTGCTGGCAAACAAGAAAAATGCATAACATATTATATTTTTATGAGAAAATAAAATATAATTAAGATATAGTTTTTTTATTAGATTATCACATCATTGAATTATGTAAAGAGGCTAAAAGATTAAAACAAGTTTTAAGTAAAAAAGAATTGTGGCCAGAAAATAGATTAAAATTACAGAAAGTACAAGAATTAATGAGTTAACAGTCAGATTTTTTGGCACAAAAAGGGCAGTTGGAGAAAATCATTATTGCAACTAAATATTAAATTGTGTTCTATCCCAAATTTTATTGTGAACTTAATTATATTGAGAACTTCTAGAATGCTGTCAAAAAATATAGCCAAGAATATTAAAATTACTTATAGAAAGAATTACAAAAAACTGTTCCATTAGCTCTTAATTCTGTTCTACTTTCAACTATTTATCAATATACAAGAAAAGCATTTTGCTATATAGATATATATCAAAAAGGTTTAAGAAATAAAGTGGCAGAATTTGCAGTTAAAAAATACTGCTTACTTTGTTGAATTCCTAAATATGCTTTAAGCTCAATTGAAATTGATTAGTTGATATTTCTTTTGCATAAACAAATTTATTATTCATAAAATAAATACTTATCTAGTATGTAGTGTTTGGGGCAAAACCCAAAAAAGGTAATAATCAAATATATTATTAAAATTTCTTTTGAGTTTTGTCTAAAATACTGCATAACTTAACACTTTTTTTTCTGAGCTCAATTTTAAATAATAAAAAATATTTGAAGCTCAAATTATTAACTTCCTATAAATACATACTGATAATCAGTATTGGACAGTATTGCCATTGTTATCTAATTTAGGTTGCCTTTTCTGATTGCATATCCCAAACCTTAAAGACCAATAAATTCCAAAACAAACATAGTGCATTAATACCTATAACTTAAATAAGTTTGCAGTACTAGATTTTATAAATAAATTAATATTTCACAAATCAGATGCATCTTTATTAATTAATGTATTGAGAGTTCAAATAATAATTGTACCTATCAATGCATAAGAGTCTGCTTATATGGTTAAATAACCAAATCTTTCTTTTAATTGTATTGGTTTAATATAGGCTTTAATATATAATTTACCAAACTTTGCTAGTTTAATATTGTTGATCATTATAGACAGCAAATTGCTTATCATTATTTGATATACAAAGATGCATGTATATGTACACAAAGTAACCAAGTTTTTTTAATATATATAGAGTGGCCAAATTTAGAATATAGAATAGCCAAATTTAGTATACATAAGGTGGCCAAATTTAGTATGCATAGGGTGGTCAAATTTAGTATATATATAGTAGCCAAATTGCTTGTTTTTAATAATATATATAGAATGGCCAAATTGTTTGTTTTAATAATATATATAAAGTGGCCAAATTGCTTGTTTAATTATAAAACTATCTTGATTTTAATTCTCTACTATTTTATTAAAAACAATTTTAAAAAAAATTTAATACCACCAAGATGTTTAGTTTGAATAGTTTTAATGTTTTATGAAGTGATTTTTTGAAATTGTTTTTTGTAAACAAGAATTAGTATTTTGAATTTAGATAAATTTATTTGTTTTTTTTTGTTTTTTTTAGTATTAAGGTGACCTCTTTGGTCTTTTGACTTTTATTAATCACTTATCGGTATTGTAGTTTAATAAACCACTACAGGAGAGCGTACAATTGGCTACATATGTAACTTTTCTATATTACCTATTTAAGAAGTCCACCTAAAGGTTCTCTACCAATTGCCGTACCTAACATCTCTGCTTGGGTGTTCTACTTTAAACCTTATGAACCTGTAACTTATATTAACATCACTGGTCATCTCAGATGTACTAGATCATTATCCTCAACCTTAGGACTAATTTATCCTTAAGATAAACCTTCCAGAGCCTTCTGTACCCATTTTTACAACTGACCTAGGTATCGCTATAGCAGAACTAACACTTGCGGTCAGGGCTAACCATTAAACCGCTATGCCCTTATAGAGTTCACTTAGACCCTAGCATCTACTTCACAGTATAACCCCAGTACTTTAGTATACTCTTGCCTTTTTCTCTACCCTTTTACCAGACTCCCAATCCAGATAGCCCATGTAGAACTATGATCAGT